ACAAACACGGAGCTTTGCCGTGAATGCAGCGTTTGTTTTGACCTGAGGGATGATTTGTGGTAGATCCTAGTACAGAATTCAAGTCTGTGATTAATTGTAATTAATTGTGTGAAGAGACATATTCAATGTGAATACAAAGAACTCAGGGAATAACAGCCTAAATTAACTTCCTTCAGCGTTGTAAATGTGGATATAAATGTTAGTAGAGGAAGATAAATACGTGTTAGGAAAAGCAGGATAAACCAAATTGTATCTGGGTGAGTATTACCTTAGTCCTCCTTAACCAACAGAGGAGCATCAAGGTTTGGAATGAGAGGGGATCCCTCCTGTTGGATCAGGGGGGGAGGCTGGGAGAATGCAAGTTTTTTTGGGAACACCTTCAAGCCAGACCAGTAAGACACCACTAAACACTGTAAATCAAACTGGTGACAGGGGCCACGCTGGCAATACTTGAAACTAGACCTCTTTAAATAGATGGTTGAGAACACAGAGGGAGAGGTGTTTTGTCTCAGAGACCACTAGCAAGGTGATAATTCTGTCATGAGCCAGGAGTCCCCCAGAAACTGGGATAACACTGCCTGCAAGCCGTGGAGGAACCTCTGGAAAAGGAGTATTTACTTGGTACTGGTTAGCATGTGGCTGTAGAGGATGCTCTCTGTGTCTATGGGGTTACTTCTTAATTTTGGAGGGTTGATGGACCTTCTCCTCCTCCTCCATTGCAGGCAACATACTGGAAATGGAAATATAATCATGGAAGAACATCATGTTGCAGCATCACACAGTCCTTATAAATCATTTCACTGCTGTGCTTTCCTAAATGCCAGGAGTGGGGATTTCTCCAAGTCATCTGAAAAACAAGGATTTACTGGTTTTTCGGAGGCTGCAAAAATATCTTCCCAAATTGGAATCGTGGCAAATTGATGTAAATCTGAGGTTTTAAAAAGCTGAAGTAGTGAGATCTTATTTCTTTTAATGTTAAATCACCAAGTGGTCTCAGTTACAATAAATCTCTGTGTGTTTGCAAGGTGGGAACTGAGCACACCCCTAAAAACCAGGCCCATGCTGTGGGAATTAGCAAAGCTCCAAAATACTTCCAGGAAACAAAGGAAATGAGGTCCAGAACTGCTATTTGGGAAAATACTATTAGCTAGCACTAATTTAGTACTAATTATTTTAACACTAGTTCGTACCTTGACCTTGGTTTACTTCTGTCTGTGACCAAGGTCTGAAGAGAGAGAATATTTCACTTAAGTCGTTGTGCAATTCATTTCACATGACTCAGTTTTAAAGGCTCCACTGCTTAACTAATTCTTTTAATCTCCTGGTAGTTACCAGGCTTTTCCAAAGCAAAAATACAGACATTGCAAGAGCACAGCACCAAAAAGGGAGCCCAGGTGTTGGAATAGAAGGGAGAAACAGAGAAAAGGGCCTTTTGGCTTCTCCCTTTCTCCCCTATCCTACCTTGCTCTGCATTTATTTCATTTACATTCAGAAAAAAAACCCACCTAAGCAGAGGAGAGAGGAGGAGGAAAACGTCCTACTGGTGAATATTTTTGAGGCAAAACTCCCACTTCCACTGGTGTATTTGTGTGAATTAATTCTCAGAAGTGCCTTTTGCCATTACACATTTTAGAGCCTTTCTCTGCTGTGCTGGGTTCGTTGCTCCAGGATAATTCAGGACAATCTCTTCCCAAATGGAGGGATCCCAGAGAAAGGCAGTGCTGCTTACGGGTGTCTGTGTTGCTTCTTGGTTCTCATTGTGTCAGCTCAGAAGAGAAGCAGCTCTTTTTACAAAGTCCAGGCTACTGAAAATAACCATATAAACGTGTAAATTATTAAAGCATTAATGGTGTTTTGTGCATGAATGTGTCTCCTATGCAGTATAGGCAAAAACCAAAGTATTTAATGTTGTAGCAGTCAAAAGTCACTGAATTTTTAGGCCTCGTTCATACAACAGGTCTTGCCATGTCACATATGAACTACTTTATTACCAGAAGGTGGTTTAAGTGTTTTCAACTGTTGCTTTATGAATCACTGTGAAAATAAAGGCACATAGACATTTCAGGTTGGGGGTTTTGGAAGGGCACGGTCCCCAGGTTAAATTTATGTGTACTAAATATCACACAGTTGAAGTGCTGCTCGTCAGTTTAGAATGATTTAAAAGTCCACATTGTGGCACATTCTCCAGGTAGTACTTAAATACAAGGAAAATTGAATTATTTGAATTCTGGTTGGAAAAAAAAGAAGGGTTGTAACATATTTGATTTTAGCCAGATTATGAGTTAGGTAGAGCAGGGGACAGGGATCTATCAAGTAAAATCCTTTTGTTTACTTTCAGCAAATACCACCCCTGTCTCTCAGGATTTCCATCATTTACCTGTTCAGTCTCCCATTTGGTGTCATTTCATGATGACTGACTTCTGTATAAATGAAAACAAATGTATATATATTTTTTTCTATCGAGTTCGTTTTGTTCTGGTGTAATATATTGTCCTTAGAACATCGTGTAAAACCGAGAGATGAACCAACTTACACATTATTTATAATGGATGCAAAAAAATACATTAATGTATGATCCGTGCTTGTGTCTTTTGTTCTTTATCCAGCATGAAAATCATAGAATCATGGAATAATTTGGGTTGGAAGGGACCTCTAAAGGCCATGGAGTTCCAAACCCCTGCCATGGGCAGGGACACCTCCCACTATCCCAGGTTGCTCCAAGCCCTGTCCAACCTGGCCTTGAACACTTCCAGGGATGGGGCATCTGCCACTTCTCTTCCCATGGAATTTGCAGGCATTTCAAGTAGTATCTGCAAATTTATCAGACAAAGCTTTAATAGGAAAAAGCACAGTTTGGCAACTATGAAAAGTAGTTTCTTCCATTGCGAAAGTATGAAACTGATTAAAGTGTAAAAATCTTGACAGGTAGTGAATGCACTTCATCTTCCTATCGAGGACACCCTGCCCTCAATTGAAATTGCATTCCTATTTTTCACTTTTATATGGAAAATATTCAGTGCTTCTTGTGAGCCTTTCACAGAATCATGGAGTGGTTCAGGTTGGAATGGACCACTGAAGGTCATCTAGTCCAACCCCCCTACCCAAGCAGGGTCCCCCAGAACACGTCACTTGGGATTGTGTCCAGGCAGGTTTTGAATATCTCCAGGGAAGGAGACTTCACACCCTCTCTGGGCAGCCTGGCCAGTGCTTGGTCACCACACAGGAAAGAAGTTCTTCCTCATATTCGAGTGGAACTTCTTGTATTCTACTTTCTGCCTGTTGCTTCTCATCTTATTGCTGAGCACCACCAAGCAGAGCCTGGTCCATCCTCTTAGAACCACAGAATATCTTGAGTTGGAAGGGACCCACAAGGATCATCCACTCCAACCCCTGGCCCTGCCCAGGACACTCCAACAATCCCACCTTGTCCCTGAGAGCGTTGTCCAAGCCCTCCTTGAGCTCTGGCAGCCTTGGGGCCGTGCCCACTGCCCTGGGGAGCCTGGTCAGTGCCAACCACCCTCTGGGGGAAGAACCTTCTCCTGAGATCCAACCTAAACCTCTCCTGGCACACCTCCATGCCATTTTATTTGCACCCTCCCTTCAAACACTTCTATACATTGATAAGATCCCCCTCAGTCTCCTCGAATCTGAACTGCCCCAGCTCCCTCAGCCTGTCCTCACACGAGGTGCTCCAGTACCCTCATCATCTCCACAGTCCTCCTTCACTGGACTTACTTCAGGAGCTCCATATCTCTTGTCCTGAGGAGCCCAGAACCAGGCACCTTTTAACCTTCTAAATCTTCTTCTTTTGATGACCAGTGTGAGGACAAAAGGAAATGGCATTAAACTGAGACAGGGGAGGTTCACAGAATCCCAGGATGGGTCAGGTCAGGAGGCACCACAGCGGATCATCTGGTCGCACCTCTCTGCTCAAGCAGGGTCATCCCAGAGCACATGGCACAGGATTGTGTCCAGATGGCTCCGGAATATCCCCAGTGAGGAGATTCCACACCCTCTCAGTGCTCAGTCACTGCACAGGAAAGTTCTTCCTCATGTCCAGGTGGAAATTCCTGGGCATCACTTTCTGCCCTGTGCCTCTTGTCCTAGAGAAGGACAAGATAAGTCAGTGTGTGTGCCCAGGTGACCAAGAAGGCAAATGGCACCTGGTCTGTACCAGGAATAGTGTGGCCAGCAGGACCAGGGAAGTGATTGATCACTTTTTCTGGGCACTGGTGGGGCCACACCTCGAGTGCTGTGTCCAGTTTTGTGTCCCTCAATTAAAGAAGGACATTGAGGGACTGGAGCGTGTCCAGGGACGGGAATGGAGCTGGGAAGGGTCTGGAGCAGCAGGAGGGGCTGAGGGAGCTGGGGGGGCTCAGCCTGGAGCAAAGGAGGCTCAGGGGGGACCTTCTGGCTCTGCAACCCCCTGACAGGAGGGGGGAGCCGGGGGGGGTCGGGCTCTGCTCCCGGGGAACAAGGGACAGGAGGAGAGGGAACGGCCTCAAGTTACACCAAAGGAGGTTCAGGTGGGACATCAGGAGGAATTTCTTTACAGAAAGAGTGATTGGACATCGAAAGGGGCTGCCCAGGGAGGTGGTGGAGTCCCCATCCCTGGAGGTGTCCCAGGAAGGACTGGACGCGGCACTCAGTGCTCCGGGCTGGGCATCGGGCACAGGTTTGGACTCGATGATCTCTTTTTCAAGCTCGGTGGTTCTGCGGCTCAGTGATTCTGTCTCTCCGTGACTTTGGGATTACGGGACTCTCCGGGATTCGGGGATCCCGGGTTTCTCCGGGATTCGGGGATCCCGGGTTTCCCCGGCACCCCGGGACTCCCCGTCCCCGTGAGGGCCGGGGCCGCGCCCTCCCGGCCGCGCGGGGGCGCTGTGGCGGCGCCCCCTCCCCTCGCTGCCCGCGGCCGGCCCGGAGGGCGGCGGCCGCCGCCTTCCCACAACGCCCCGCGCGCCCGCCGCGTCCCCTCAGCGACCCCCGGCCCGGCCCCGCTCCCCATCCCCGTTCCCGGCCCGATCGCGGCCCCGTCCCGATCCCCGGGGGCGGCCGGACCCCCCCCGCCCTGCGGAGCGGGGAGCGGCGCCGGGCATGCGGGCGGTGGCGGCGCGCCGGGAGGTGGGATGCTGTCGCGGAAGAAGACGCGGACGGAGCTCTCCAAGCCGGGCGAGGTGCAGGGGAAGTACGTGAAGAAGGAGACGAGCCCGCTCCTGAGGAGTGAGTGTCGGGGGGAACACCGCGGGGACACCAGCCCGGGGTCCGGGGGGACGAGCCCGAGGCCTTTGTGTGCGGCCGGAGCGGGGCCTGGAGCGGCGCGGCCTCGGGGGGGCCCCGCGGAGGATGGGGGGTCATCCCTGTGTGTGTATGTGTGGGGGGTATTTCTCTCTTTCTCTCCGTATATGTGCGTGTTTAATTCCTTTGTGAGCCCTGGGAGGTGACGGAGGGAAGATAAAGGGAGCCCCACTCTGAAAGAGAGCGCTACACGCGTCGGGTGCTCATCGTACCCCAGCTTGGTGGGGTTTGTGGTTTCCTCGGTTCTCAGCTCCTCGGTTTCGGCAGGTCGGGGCTCGCGGAGTCTCCACACTTTGTTTTTGCGTAAATTAAGAGATCACAAGGCCGGGTTGGATGGTCTTGGAGCAACCTGGGCTGGTGGAAGGTGTCCCTGCCCGTGGCAGGGGATGGAACACGATGGGTGGCCTTTAATGTCCCTTCCGACCCAAACCAGTCTGTGATTCCGTGATTCCGTGACCTCTCTCTTTCCGGAATGGAGTGGTTGTTTTCCCGATGTGCTTTGGGAATGAGATAACTGTCCTGCCAGGCAGTTGCATAAAATCCCCGCGGAAGCAAACGCTCCAGGTCCTATCCATGACTCAGCCCGGTGAGGTCACCTGGAATGCAGGAGCTTCCCGTGGCTCACCTGGCTCTGATGCCACAGCCCCGTTTTCCTGGGGCTGGACAGAACACTGGCAAATACCCACTGAAAAGACACTAAGTTTTCTTTTTTTTTTTTTTTTTTTGTTGGTCTTTGATGGCAACCCGAGACTGAAATGTGTTTATTTACTCTGTAATTGCGGGATTAGGTTGGAGTTCCCAGCTAGCAAAAACTGATTTGCTGGCAGGAGCAGGCACTCAGCTTTTCTGGAAGTGTTTGCTGCACGAACAACTGGTTCCTCAGTCAACAGGCAAAATAATTTAGTACTTTGGTTGCATTGGCTTAGTCCTTTAACACAAAAACCCAACTAATTTTTGTTCTGTTAAGCTGTGGGTGTGTCTGAGGTGTTCATAAATTTACTCGTTTATGCTCTTACATGCTGTGATCATGATAAATTTACTGCTGACACCTTCTGGGGTGCACCAGATTTTTACCCTAAGACTAACATTTTACCTGTAAGAGCTTATTGCTAAAAAGTAATTAATAGTAGGCACAACCTCATTCTGAATGAAAGCTGTCATTTGTGTTGACTTAGCTGGAGGGAACTACTTAATTTGTACCACACTGAAAGTAAAAGCAGGGAGAGGAGGAATGTTTCGCTTGCTGGAGGGAGGCAGTGAAGTTGTAAAGGAGAGAAAGTGAAATATCTCCATGATAATTTGAGGATTTAGCATGTGCAGAGTGACAGCATTTTTCTGGCTGAGCCTGGTGATTTTGGGATGGGTGGACATGGTGTGGATTCTGTTCCTGTTTCCCCCCTGGATTCCTGTGAGCCTGTGGGCGTTAACATCTTGTTATTCCCAGTTCGTAAGCACAGTGTCCCCAATAAAGTAGTAGCCAGGATACTGGGATTTTCTTGACCCTTCTAATAGATGCAAACCCTGACTGACGCAGCCACAGCACAGAGTGGGTGGGTTGGGGTTTTTTGTTTGTGTGTTTTATGATGGGTTTGGGGTTGGTTTGAACTGGCAGAACTGCACCGTCCTGGCACCAGTTTGTTGCTGGTGGAAGGTGTGCTGGTTCCTGTTGCACCAGGACACCCTGCAGCATTCCCAGTCTGTTTGCATGGGCATTAAATGGGTTTTACACAGGAATTCCCTCAGTTTTAGGGCGGTGGTCGGAGGCTTTACGTGGAAGTGCAGGCAGAGTTGTGACTTCTCTTCCCTGCTCTTTACCAGACCTGATGCCTTCCTTTATCCGTCACGGTCCGACCATTCCAAGACGAACTGACATCTGCCCTCCCGACTCCACGCCCTCTGCCTACGCCCCTGGAGGAGATGGAATTGTTTCCAGGAACCAGAGTTTCCTCCGAACCCCAGTGCAGAGGCCGCCCCACGAAATAATGAGGCGGGAGAGCAACAGACTGTCTGCACCCTCCTATCTGGCCAGGAGTCTGGCTGATGTCCCCAGGGAATACGGCTCTTCCTCCCAGTCCTTCCTGACAGAAGCCAGTCCTGGGCTGGAAAACGGCGACCCCGGGGCCCGGTGTTATTATTATGATCACTTTTACGAGGCCCAGAGGAGGCGGCAGGTGAGCGACCGAGCCCACGAGGACTACAGGTATTACGAGCACAACAGTGAGCTTTTCCAGAGGATGTCCCAGAATCATGGGAGGCACACCTCAGGTAAGGGGTTTTAGGGGTTTGGCTGAGAGTTTAGGTGCACCTGGGTGATGTTTTTTAGGAGTTGGGCTGTGTAGGACGGAGCTGCTTTTCCGTGATGTTTCTGTGTGATTAGAGTTGAGAATTTGATCACGTGTATCCAGAAAGGGAAGGTACTCTTTACACGCTCTTTATTTATTAAATAAATGGGATAAGTTTAAGCAAATTTTGGTTTTCTTAATGCCAACTATAGATGCAACTCCTCTACACAAAGTTGCATCAGTCCCTGGCTAAGAAGGTATTTTGTTTTTATTATTTATTAGGGGACATCTAGTTTCATGGTAGAGAGAATAACCAACAGCTCTAGGTTATAACATTACAGCATCGTTGTTGTTGTTATTATCATTCTATTTTAACTCTCATTGTCTTATTATTTAATGTCATTGTTTTAATTTGACCTCAATAATTAAAATAATTGCTTATGAATAGTCAAAGGGAGGAGTGATTGCTTTGTGTAATTAGCAAATTGGCATCTGGTCCTGGTCCTTGACTCCTTCCTTTTAGCTTTTAATATTGTTTGTAAATATACCTGTTTTCCCCCTCAGTTTTTCACTTGTCTTTGTTTTCTAAAGAACAGCATAAGAAAGAAGAAGCCATTAAATACTACTTTCCTGAAATATTTGATTCTGTGTTTGATGCTGCAAAAACTATGTCCAAGGGGGAGTTTGAAAGAAACATTTCAAACTCTTTCAATAACGTGCCTTCAACATTAAATACATTGTCACTTGTAGTCTGCAAACAAAATAGCAATTAGTCTCTAATAAAATAAATCTCCTGTCCAGAAAAATAAACCTGCCAGGAAGAACATCCAGCATTCAATGCTGCTGAGCTCCTGTGTGGAACTAGAACCTGTCAGGGACTTGTGTTTCCTTTACCACAGAAACATTTCCATGAGAAGTGATAGAAGGGGGGTGTGGGAGCTGTCAGGCAGGAAATTCTGAAATGCTGAGCTTTTAAGTCTTGCTGCTTTAATCCTCCTTTATTTTGCTAAATTGCATCTGATTTGCCTCCATCTCTGCTGGTTGTTGCTCATCCAACAGTCATGAAACACTCACCTGGTGCAGGTAACGAGCATCTGGGAGAGTTGTGCTGGGATAATTTGGGGAAGAGAGGCAGGAGGGGAGGATTTCACAAACCAATCCATCAGTTTAAGTTCAGAATTACTACACTTGCTGTGTCTGCTGAGGAGACTTCAAAAATTAAAGCTCTGGCCCCGAAAGTGGAGGTCAATCTATCAAATCTTCAGAAGAAGCTAAAAGTAGGGCTTCACAGCCATATTTTTCTCAATTGTAACAATTTCTTCTTTCTAAATAAGCTTTTTTTCCCCTGCTGTTTGTTTACCTGTGTCCCCTTAGCCCTGGAAGTCATGAAGGAGCTGCTGCTGTTTGTTTGGTCTCTGTCATTCAATCTCATATTTAACATTCAATAGTTTGAACAAATTCTACACAGATTTTTTTTGTAAGGGGGGAGGATTTAATCTCGTGCATTTGCAGGGAGAGACAAGGGTGAGCCTTTTGTCTGCCAAAGTGTTTCCCTTTCCTCTGTTTTGTTTTGTTTTTTTAAATTTATCTCAGCGTGGAACATGAACTCTGAAATTCCTCTCTCAGCTTCACCACAGTAAAAATGTCACTTATGTCCTTCATTTTTTACATCTTTTCAATAATTGCTGTTACTTTTTCTCAGTCAAAGAATTATGTGGCCCAATATAAGAAAACCTTGGATTTTCTTGCTTTCATCTCCCCGCGAAGCTTCCTTTTTTTTTTTTATTTTTTGAACCATCATTCAAACCTTGAGTGTTTCCCTTGAGCTGCTACAGTAATTTTTCTTTCATTTCTTGTTCCTTTTTCCCCCACAGTTCCAGAATCCCGAGGCAGGCCTTTTGCTTTCATTGTCTTTGTCTAAATCCCTTTTTTTTCTTCTGCATCTGCCCTGCTGCTTCTAAATGTTCGACCTGATCGATATTATTCATTGAGATAATGGTTGGCAAAATTGCCTCATACCTACAGTTTCCAGTTAAAAAATCTCTTTATTGGGTGGAATCTGTAAATGCTGCTTTCTCCCCTTTCCCTCCTCTCCCACCCTCCCTCCGAAGGTCAGTTCTGGTACATTTTGTGTGGATTCCCAAGGAAACGTTGCCTGATGAACACAAGGAGTTGTTGCTGTTGGTGAATATTTCACTGAGTGGTGGGTCCACCAGGTGGTTTTTGGGAAGTGAGAATTTCAGCTTTCACTCAAAATAAAGATTCTCCTCCTTATAATTTGGAGAGAAGTTGCAGACATGTTCCCAGTGAGCTCTTCAGGGTGTTCAGCAAAGCAAGCCCCGTGGTTTTTCAGCAGTTTGTTGACAGCATTACATGTTCTTTCGCAAGCATTTCCCCTTGAAGTCATGTTTTCTCTGTCATTATTCAATTCTCCCACGTTCTCCTTTTCTTATTTTCATTAAATTTGCTTTTAATTACCAATTCAGTGTTGCTGATTTCTCTGAACAAAGTTTTCAGTTGAGATACCTCCTGGTTTTTATATGTTTACCTACCTCTGTGGCATTTCTCGAACTTTTTTATTTCTTTATTTTTATTTTTTTTTTTTAGTGTCCTTTTCAAACTTATTTCTAAGAGCCTTTACCTGTCTTTCCTGGCCATGTCTTTCCTCTCTTCTAGGTTAAAGTTTTGGGGAGGTCTGTGGTTGAAGTTATACCTACAGTGTAGCTTGGAAGTAACTTGTAACCAAGACCTCAGAGTTATTTGTCCCTGTGTGAGCGGTAAGAACATTCTTCTGTGTCTATGAAAAAAATTGCTGAGATTGAAATCACAGTGTGGAGGGACTTTTGGATTGGAATTAGTTCACTGGGATGGCAGAGGAGAGAAACAATTAACAGTTGAAAGTAGGTTCATCTTGTAAACCTCGTAAAAAATTGCAGAGCGGTGTTCGTGTTTCATAAAGGAGCAAAATAAATGCAGATCATTACATGAAACCTATTTAGGGCTAAAACAGCCACGCTTTTTAGGTGTTTACACGTCTCTCATTTTCAAACAAGTGGCAGTTCCTGCCCTTTTCTTCCTTTGTGCTGATTTTTGCAGTAATTTTGCAGCATAATTCTTGCAGCTTTCACAGTCCTTCCCTGTCGTTTCCTATTTGTGAAGTGGTGCTTGTTTGGAACGCCCCATTCCCTCTGACAAAAGAGGTGCCTGTGCTCAGGAAGTTCCTTGGGATGCTTTGGAATGGGTTAGGAGGGCCTGGGACCTGCAGGCCTGTCTAGACAGAAGTGGTTGGAGCTGCTCTTTGCTGTTTTGTTGTCACTTGTTCCCCGAAAATCAAACAGTTGGTTCGTCTTCTCTTCCCGTTCTTCATCCCGGTTTGATGAGGGGAAGGGAGAGGATTTTGGCATCCTGGAAAAAGGCTCTCAAGAGCCAAACAAAAGACATACTGGTTTGTGAGATTTGCCCTTCAGCACTTTGGAATGTGGTTGGAGGCAGCTGTGGGGAGTTCCTGGGCTCTGGAACTTCCCTGCCAACATCAGCACAGTTCCTACGAAAGGGAGACTTTCTCCTCAGAGGTTTTTCTTCTTTTTCCATTATGCTGGTGCTGGGATTTTCCTCCTGTCCTTCCTGCCCAACAGACTGAAGAACTGCCCTTTGCTGACCTGGAAATCTTTCCTCCAAAGGACTTGGACATCTTTCCAGGCAGGGAATGAACGCCCTTCACAGGGCTGGGAAAGCACTGACACATCAATTCCAGTTTCCTTTGTTCCATCCTGGGGGAACAAACCCAACACAACCTCCTTGGCTGAAGAAAACACTCCAGATTTTTCACATTTGTGACTTTTATTACCTTAAGATACATTTTTAAGAGAGGGAGCTCTTTACAGTGCACTGGAACGTGGTGCTCAAAGCTTAGGGTGGTAATTCAAGACCTTAAAATTGAAGATTCTGTGTTTTAGAAATGGGAGGAAAAAGCAAAGCCTCAAATAATTTCAGTATTGATGTCCCTTAAAAGCAACAGCAACCCCATTATATACCACATAATACCCCATTATATACCACATATACCCCATTATATGTTATATTATATCATTATACCCAGAATTACTAAATGAGGCTAGAAAAGCCCTGAAGAGACATCCTGAAAAGGATTCACAACTGCATAAATTCCAAATTAATTGTTGACCATCCCTGAGATTTGACAGTGCCACTCAGGGGAGTTTGTAAAGACCAGTGCTCATCTCAAAGCAGAGGAAAGGAGACATTTGGAAAAAAGCAGATAATTTAAGCAACTCTGTTCCTTAGGAGAGCAGGAATAATGAGAATTTCTGTCTTGTTTCGGTTCAGGGCTCAGACCTTACCTGGAATTTAAACTCAGAAGAGGGTCATTCCTGGCAATGTGCCATGGAAAAGGCAGTGTCAACAGTCCATGGGTTTAGGCTGGAGCTTGGAACTTTCTTCTTCGGTTTATATTTTGGGAAAGATCACATAGGAATTTGCTCTTGGTGTTGTTCAGTCTTATTATTGATACTTACAGGTGTATGTATCTAAAAAAAGTCAATTTTCCTCTTCTCTTCTCGTTCAGAAACACAGCAGGAGCTTTTTCTCTTACCTGTGTATCCACTCTCCCTCAAAGGAGCATCTGCTGAGGTTTATCAGGAAAACCAATATATAATTTCTTTTGATCTCTCTAATTAAACTCCATTTATAGGAGAAAAAAAAAAAAGTCTAAATTGTACCAGTTGTTGATTTTAATGCCACAGTGGGTTGGTGGCTTTAAGGCACCATGAATATCAACATCATGAAACTTCCAACACACAGAATATCCCAACATGATTTTCAATTTTAAGGGGAAAAATAATAATTACACCCTGAAGTATTTGCAGCCATCAGTTCATAAATCTGTTCATGGAACACTGTTGATATATAAGTTTTACTTTAATGGTGTGGCTCTGCTCCTTCATAGATGAAATCAAAATGGCAGATATATATTTGTGGTCTGGTATTATTTTTGTTCTCTGCATGTCAGAAATTAAACAAACAAACAAAAAACTGCTATTGGGAGAATCCAGGAGAACTTCTGGTGCTGAGGATGGATGGTGCAGCTTTTAATGCAAGCTTCCAAGTGCTGGGAAGCAAGGAATAAATAAAAATATCTGTGTATTTGCTGAATTTAAGGGGGAGGAACTGTAAAAAAACATGTGCTGGTTTGAACAGCAGGCAGAAAATAGGGGTGGGGTTTTTATCCCCAATTCGTGTGTTCAGGTCTCCTGGCAGTGTTGATTTAATGGTCACTGTTAAAGAGTGACTATTCTATAATAATATAAACATGTAAATGTAAATAGTCACGAGAGTACAGGAAATCACAACCAGTTAATTGGAGAAAATCCAGGATTTTTTTTTTTTTTTATCCCAAGTATTTTCAAGAAGCTGAAATGTTTGTATTTTGTCGGTGGAATGAAATCCAAACAAGTGACATCACTGTGAGGGGCTGGAATATCCTCCCTGCCCCAGGACTTCCAGAGATTAGGAAGCCTCCAGGATGTTTCTTTTCTCTGGAAGTAGAGGTCCAGGTTGCTTAAATCCCAATTAAAGGTGGACACAGCTTCCCTTTATAGGCTGACAAATAGGTAAGTACTGAAACAAGAGGGAATCCTGTAAGGCCAGACAGTTCAGAACATGAAAAAGCTGGAAAAAGATTTGTGGATGAGCTCAGACTTTTGAGGAACAGTGTGAGAGGTCTTTAAATTTATTTCATATTTCTCCAGTTGCTCTGGAGCCTTCCTGTAACTTCACTGTTGATGAATGCCATGTTTTATTGGGAAATAACCCACCCAGTTTTCAGTCTGTCATTTTGGGTGAGAGAGACTCTGCCTTTCCCTTCCCTTCCCTCAAAAAACAATCACCCAAAAATGCTATTCCTGAAAAACAGGAGGAAAGGGGTGTATTCCCATCAGTATGATGTGTATTCCCAGATGTGTGATGGAGGCACTCTCTGACTCCTAAAAAAAAGTGGGAAAGGTGGCTCCCAAATCCCTTCTACTGGCTGTGGGAAATGGTGACACTGATGATACTGGGATTGATTAGATGCATTTGGTCGTGGGATGAGAAGATAATTGGGAATTTCTTTGGAGCCAGAGGCTGTTTAACTGCAGAACTGGAGGAACCGAGGGGGTTCCCTGAAAAGGATTTAAAAAATGGAGTTGGATTTGGGCTGACACATCCAGGAGGTGGTAGATTCCCAGGAATGGAAAGAGGCCTGCAAAATTCCTGATGATGTCACTGTGGTTTTGTGGTTGGGGTTTTTTTGGGGTGGGTTTTTCTTTTTTGTTTTCTTTAATTGCCATTATGTCTTTAATTTCAACCAGCTTCCTAATTATCCCTAGGAAAGGACAGGAAAGGAACTGTGTTTCTGTAGTACATCTCTCACCATCCAGCATGTTAATTTTTAAAATTTTGAAGTGCCGGTGAGCAGTCTCTTAAATTCAGTGGTAGATAAACCCCAAGTGTGTTGTGTTTCCAGGGAAGAGGTGGGAATTTAATCACCCACTGATTCCTGTCAGCCCTTCACGTCCCTCCTCTCTCGTTTTCCCTGATCCTGTTGCTGTTCTTCACTGGCTCACCTAAAAAACACTGTTGGGGTTCGGTGATTTTCCTGGATAGTTGTAATTTCTGGCTGTAACTAGAAAAAGAGGGTTTTTTGTAGATCAGTGGTGCAGCTGTAACAGTGTGTTGACAGAAATGATCATTTCTGGGAAGCTTTAACTAAACCCTGATCCTCCCGGTTTTTTCAGGCATCGGGAGAGTTGCTGCTACATCTCTAGGAAACTTAACAAATCATAGTTCTGAAGATTTACCTCTTCCTCCTGGCTGGTCAGTGGACTGGACTATCAGAGGAAGGAAATACTACATAGATCACAACACCAACACCACTCACTGGAGCCACCCTTTGGAGCGGGAGGGGCTCCCGCCGGGCTGGGAGCGCGTGGAGTCCGCGGAATTCGGGGTCTACTACGTGGATCACATCAACAAAAGAGCTCAGTACAAACATCCCTGTGCTCCCAGGTGAGGCAGACAACCTCCTCCTCTGTGCTTGGATTTCCCTTAATCCAGTTAAAGTGGAACCGGGTTTGTCTCAACGTGCCAAAACCTTATTTTTAGAACCGAGGTCTTGAGGAGGAGGTGTAATTGTCGGGGGTTTGTCTCGTGCTTCTGTCACAAGTTTAGAAACAGGATATTGCTCCTCAGTCACTCCCAACAAAGCAGCTCTTCAGCTGTCAGTAAAACAGCAGAGCTGCTGGGAGCAGAATTGAACTGTTTAGACTGGAAAGAAACTCGATCTGATGCTCACAGAGACGGCTGAAGATCTGAAACGTGAATTAAGTCTTGTCTAGAATGAAAATTGGTATTTTAGCTACTTGTATTTTCCAGGTAAAGCTAATATAAACCAAATCTAACAGTGAATTCCTACCACTCAGTCTATTTTGCTGGTACCCAGGAAGAGAAGGTTTTTTAACATGTGGCTCAAAAGATAAATATATGATAAATATTGTATATGAATGTATGAGAAATACAGGAGGATGTCTTTATATGGAATAACTCATCAGCTGCTGCCTGACTACATTTGTTCTGACATATTAAACGGTGGATTATTTGGCTGACTCAATACTTCTTTAATGTTTTAGAACCAGATCTAATGCTTTTTCTGTGCTCTGGTGAGTGGGTGTGAGGGGAATTTCACCCTGTGACTGCAGCAAAAGCATCGGCGAGCTGCTCGGTGCAGACCTGCCGAGGCAACACACCCCCGGTGTGGTTGCACCATCAGCCTTTGCACACATTAATCTGTGCATCAATGTCACAATAAATCCAGAAGTCAGTGCTGTCAGTGTGTCAGGAACCCCCTGGAGCTCACGGCTTTCCCTGTGTCCTCTCCCAGCGTTCCCCGTTACGATCAGCCGCCCCCCGTGTCCTACCAGCCGCAGCCGGCGGAGCGGAGCCAACCCCTGCTGGTCCCTGCCAACCCCTACCACACTGCTGAGATCCCAGACTGGCTCCAGGTCTACGCCAGGGCTCCTGTCAAGTGAGATTTGGCCTTTTTTTTTTTTTTTTTTCCTTCTGCAGCTCACACTTAGAAACTAAAGAATTTCCATGTAAAGTAGAACTCGTGCTTACGTCTGATTTTGTTGCTCACGGCACATGAGGAAGTTGTGCCGAAAGTTTCTCACATTTGCTTTGTTTCAGGCCTTACTTGAAATCATCACAGCACTTCTTGCAGCTCAGAGGGTGGAGGGTGGGATTTACTTTCAGTTCATCTTTGTGAGAGCGGCACCACGTGCTTAGAAAATATGTGAAACATCTTCAGGGTGTAACTTCCTCCTGCCTGTCTTGCTCCTTTTTAAAAAACTGCTACTTTTCTTTCACTTTTAAGAATTTTAAATCATGGAATCATGGAATAACAGAATGGTTTGGGTTGAAAGGGGCATTAAGGATCACCCAGTACCACCCCCTGCCATGGGTTGGGACACCTCCCACTAGCCCAGGTTGCTCCAAGCCCCGTCCAGCCTGGCCTTGGACACTTCCAGGGATCCAGGGGCAGCCACAGCTTCCCTGGGCAACCTGTGCCAGGGCCTCCCCACCCTCACAGCCAACATTTCCCAGTATCTCATCTCACCCTGCCCTCTGGCAGTGGGAAGCCATTCCCTGTGTCCTGTCCCTCCATCCCTTGTCCCCAGTCCCTCTCCAGCTCTCCTGGAGCCCCTTTAGGGCCCTGCAAGGGGCTCTCAGGTCTCCCTGGAGCCTTCTCTTCTCCAGGTGAACCCCCACAGCTCTCTCACCCTCTATATTTTTCTCAGTTGTTTTATTCTGATCAGTTCACGGGATCTCCAGTATTTCTGGAGTCTTGGTGTGATTTGAGGGATCGTGCCGGGATTTTTCTGACTCACTTTGCGACCCAACTCCGTTTTTGCCGTCAGCCCCCCAAAAAACCCCCAAACCCGCCGATACACCACATCTAAACCCTTTTTCCTTCCCCCTCAGGTATGACCACATCCTGAAGTGGGAGCTGTTCCAGCTGGCGGACCTGGACACGTACCAGGGGATGCTGAAGCTGCTGTTCATGAAGGAGCTGGAGCGGATCGTGAAGCTGTACGAGGCGTTCCGGCAGGCGCTGCTCACCGAGCTGGAGCACCGCCAGCAGCGCCAGCAGTGGTACGCCCAGCACGGCAAGAACTATTGACCCCTCCCCACGGACTCTCTCTGTAAGGACACTCAACAGCTTTAAAAAAAAAAAAAAAAAAAAGGGGGTTGTTCGGTTGGTGGTTGGGTTTTGTTGTTGTTTTTTTTTTTTTCCCACTCCACACTCAAAACTCTGAAAAGAAAAAAAAGTGCTTTTGTTGAAAAGGCAGCTTATTTTTGTTGACGTTGCACCTTTGTTATTATCCTCTTGAGTATTTTTCTACATGTATTATGTGTTGTTTATAAAAATGGAGATTGTTTGGTAATCCTTTTTTTTTTTTTTTTTCTTCCTTCCCCTTCTCTCCATGCAAAGGAGTAGTTTGTTATCCTGAAAACCAGCGTGGAGTTTGATCAGAGCCCTGATCCCACTCTCTTTCCTCCCAGTCAGCTGCAGTATTAAAAGCTGACTTATGTATTTTTTAAGGGCAATAGATGCAACTGTGTGTGAAATGTTCCGGCTTCCAAACCTTGTCCAAATCCAAGTGACTAGTTCAGGGTGTGTTTCCCTCAGGATTTGGGATCCCTCTCCTGAGAGAACTCTGCTCTTTGTTTACAGCTTTAATGTACAGAACACCAACCCTGTTCCTGTTCAGGAGCACCAGGAGCTGATTTCTCCCATCAGATCCGAGCCTGAGTTGCCTTATTTTTTACTTCAGATTTTACTGCTTGTTTTCACTCAGAGGGGGAACACTTGGGACCTTCCTAAAGACCAAGATCTCTAAGCAGAGTTTTTTAAATCCTGGCTAAACTGCATTTCACAAAAATCTGACCCACTCTGGTGGGAAGGCAATGGCATTGTCACTGTGCCACCCCACGGGGAAAATCAGGGATGTAACAGCAATTACTGTTCTTTTTTAACGAGCTTTTGTCTTGTATTAAAGCTCCTCACTTGGGGAAAATTTTTAATTGTCCACTTACCCTCTCCAGTATTTCCATCTGGTTCATGAATTGTCCTGAAATGTTATTTATGGATTCTTTTCAGTGCAATAAACACTGCAGACAAAAAAAGTACATTTCCTGTAAATCCTATTCATTCAATAAAAATCATTTTGTTCGATGAGCGAAGGGTCGTGGGACTGGTTTTTGGGGCTCTTAGAACATCAAGTAAACTGCTCTTACAAGCAGTAAAAGCCACGTGGGTTTGGGATGCTCCACTTGCAGTGGTGGCACCGTGTTCTGGGCCTGTCAGTGGGTAAATTACCCACAAAACACCAACTGTGAGAGCCAAAATGAAACCAGAAATGTCAAAAACCCCAGAGGAGGAGGGGTCAAGAACTTTTTTTTTTTGCTAGTAAATAACTTTTCCCTGTCGAACCAACTTCTTAGGAACCAAAAGCAAACTTTAATAGTCCTGACAATAAAAGAATAGAACTGTACCACACGTCCTATGCACTATCATGGATAAATATGTACAGAAATACAGTGAAACTTCCTCCAACACAGCTACAAAGTGACACTTTGTGCAGACAAACAGAAACAGCCCCGTTCCCCACACATCGTTAACATTCCACAGCAGAAGTGCCCTTACAGTGTCTGATAAAGCAAGTTAATACACCTTTAATTATGTTTATGTCATTAACTAGTTAATTGAAGGGGAAAAAAAAAAAAAGTGGTTACATGTTATAACTCGTTCAAGTACCTGAAATAAACTGGCTTTTGGATAAGCTTCGGCCTCTTTTAGTTGCAGTATCACGTAAATGACTGTTTCCCTCAGTGGGAACTAATTAAGAAGGGGGAAATAAGGCTTCGAAGATGAGCTGGGAGTCGCTGGCCGGGACAGCCCAAAGCGCTCGGCTGCGGCTGTGCCGGACGGACGGACGGACACCGCCGTGCCGGCACCTCCCGGCACCCGAGCGGCACCGGCGCTCCCCGCTGCCGGTGGCACCTGGGGTGGACAACGAGGGTGAGGGCTTGGATCCGAGGAGGAGATGGCGGCACCACCTCCGTCATGCATCGGCGGGAACGTGCTGGGATTCACACCTTCTTCCTGTCGGGGCCGTCGGGCTCGGCGCGCGGGGCGGGGAAGGCGTGGTGGTACAGGTGTCGGTGGGTCGCGGCCGCGCTGTACAGTTTGTACAAGGCCTGGGGAGAGACACACAGCTCGCTTACAACCCCATTCCCAACCCCGTTCCCAACCCCGTTCCCAACCCCGCGCTCGTTCCGCAGCGGCACATCCCGGCCCACCACAGCCCGTGTTTGTTCCGTGCACCGACGCGATCGTGACAAGTGTCCGACACACAGAGATCCCCAGCTCGCTGAGCGAGGGCCCGAGGGAAGGGCTGGAGCTGTGCCAGGGCAGGGTGAGGGTGGATCTCAGGGAAAGGCTCTTCCCCCAGAGGGTGGTTGGCACTGCCCAGGCTCCCCAGGGCAGTGGGCACGGCCCCAAGGCTGCCAGAGCTCCAGGAGGGTTTGGACAACGCTCTCAGGCCAAGGTGGGATTGTTGGGGTGTCTGTGCAGGGCCAGGAGTGGGACTGGGCTATCCCTGTGGGTCCCTTCCAACTCAGGGAATTCTGTGATTCTACAGTTCCAATTTTTCAAACATCTCACCCCTTCTGAGCTGTATTCTATCAATAATTTGGACGACGAGGAAGAGACATCCAGGGGTTGTTTTTCCCTACGAGTTAAATTCCTGCAGCCTCAGCACTTGCTTTCCCCACCAGGCAGATCCGTAACTGCATCACACCCAGGGCCCCGGGCGGTGACAGGTCATTGTCCTGATCGTTTTTCTGCTGATGTTGCCAATTTTTTCCTTCTGATTTTACCGTTCTCCACTAGTCCTGGAGTGACTCCAGGGTCAGGACACTCAGGAGTGGCTGCAGTGCTGAACCAGAGCAGCCACGGGCTGGTGAAAGGCAAGTAATTCCCCCATCCAACCATCCCACTTTATCCCTCACCTTTATCCCAGAACAAAAGGGACAGGAGATGCCAAGACACAGGTCTGGCTGCAGAGGACTTGTCATGGCTCTGACATTCCCATTTTAAATGAAATTGTCACTGGGGGAGTTAAAAAAAAAAACAAACAACTCAAATCCCACTGTCTCCTGCTGGGAACTGTTGGTGAGCCAGGATTAGCTCTGGAAGGGGTGGGAAGAGGCACCTGACAGGCAGGAACCCTCACACTGACAGGGTGTTCCTCATGTGCTCGGGGTGTGGATGAAGGAGGCTGAAGCTGCAGCGAGGAGGAAAAAGGTGGGGGATGAGAAAAGTCCAGGGATGTCCAAGGTGATGCTGAACCCATCCCAAAAGGGAACAGAAGTGGTGTTTTGGGATTGTCTGGGAACAGAGAGGACTGGTGGAGGAGTTCACCTCCAAACTATAAGTGACCTTGCAGCATTTTGGGCTATTTTGGGGGGGGTTGATGCCAAACCAGTGTCTCAGCACTGATTTTTGCTTGGCAGGGTTTGTCCAAGAGCTCATCCACAGCAAAGCCCCTGTTCTGCCTCTTGCTGGTTTGGTATCAGTGAGGTACCAAACAGCTGCCCTGGCTGGGAGGGGAGGAATGGGCTGATTTTTAACTGCTGTGTTTTCTTTTCGAGGGATTCCACATGTAAATCAGTGGCTCCAAAGTGTGCTGGCACTGACAGATGGAGCTGGCAGGCTTTGGTGACAGCTCAAAAGATGGAGCTGTCCTGTCACAGCCTCACTGGGGAGCCACTTGGCTGCAATCCTGGATTAAGGTACGTGAGCAGTAAATGCAGATTAGTGGGAAATCTGTCTCGGGTTAATCAGGTGCTGACAAGGCTCTGCCTGAACAAGGTTCCAGTTGCCCTGGCAAAGAGCTGGGCACTGGGATCCTGCACTGCTGGGCAAGGGGAGCTGGAAGGAGCCCAGCCCAGGAAGGGCTGCTGTGGCTGTGTCCATAAATCATGGAATCACAGCATGGTTTGGGTGGGAAGGGACATTAAAGATCATCCAGTTCCACCCCCTGCCATGGGCAGGGACACCTTCCACCAGACCAGGTTGCTCCAAGTCCCTTCCAACCTGGCCTTGGACACTTCCAGGGATCCAGGGGCAGCCACAGCTTCTCTGGGCAACCTGTGCCAGGGCCTCCCCACCCTCACATCCAACAATTCCTTCCCAATATCCCATCTAACCCTGCCCTCTGGCAGTGGGAAGCCATTCCCTGTGTCCTGTTCCTCCATCCCTTGTCTCAAGTCCCTCTCCAGCTCTCTTGGAGCCACTTTAGGCCCTGTAAGGGGCTCTCAGGTCTCCCTGGAGCCTTCTCTTCTCCAGGTGAACACCCCCAGCTCTCCCAGGTCTCCAAAGCAGAGGGTCTCCAGCCCTTGGAGCATCTCCACAACCTCCTCTGGACTTGCTCCAGCAGCTCCACATCCCTGTTGGTGCCCCAGAGCTGGGGTCTCACCTGAGGGGGGCAGAGGCACCTGCACAGTTGGTGCTCCAAAACAAACTGGGTTTGGGTTTGACCTCTCAGCACAACTGGAAAATCCCCAAACAGAACTGATGGGAGATGAAAATCCCCATCACAACATCACACTCCCTGCCCAGATCTCTCCCTCACTTGGCTCCCAGCACTTCCCACAGCAACACCCTTCCCCAGTCATTGCTATCAAAGGGAACAACCAGAGCTGCTGCCCAGAGCCCTCACAGTCCCAGTCCTCCACAAGCCCAAACGTGCAGCCGGGTCCAAGAGGCTTTTCCCGGGATCCCAGGGCCCAGCTGGCCCGAGGGAACATGCGGAGAACAAAGAGCCACTTACCTCATTCGTGCTTCCCTGGGAGAGGCATTGGGAAGGGGGAGACAGAAAGAGAGAGAAACATCTCTGTGTATCACACGTGTCCATGGGAGCACATGGAGCTCATCCCTGCTGTGTCCCCAGGGAGGCTCATCCCAAACAGGCAGGACCCCTCACCGCTCCATCCATCCCTCCTGTATCCAGTCCCACTTCCATGGATGGAGCCATGAGTGCTTGGAATCCCCCTGGGGCAGCCCTGTGGCTCGTGGTGGGCAGAGTCTCACTGCCCAGCCCGGCACCACCCGCCTGCACAGCTCCTGCTCCAGAGAACTTTCCCTCTGGTTGGAATGCCATGGAGGCCAGCAGGAGCCATGGAGCAGCTCCAGGCACTTTAACCTCTTTATTTTCCCCCAGCTGGGCATTTTGTAAGTGGGCAGCAACTTCCTGCTGTGTCCTGTTCTTGCTGAACTCCCACTGCTGCCTGCACTGGGATGGGCAAACTCTGGGTTTGACTATTCCAGCAAATCCCAAAGGCAGCTGGGAAGTGTCCCTGAGCAAAGAGCCACTGGAGTGGGGGTTACTGGGGGTGCTGAGGCTGCTGGCAACAGGGAAGCCAGGATGAATCCACCTGGGACACAGGTGATGTGCTGCCACTACCCAGCTCTGGAATGAAGGAACTGATCAGTAAATGCTTCCACTTTTTTCTCCCCAAGCTGCAGTTCCAGTAGCACAGGGAAGCAGGGAAATGTGTTTGCTCTCCATGCAAACCTTGCTGGTGGATGAAAAGGAGGGAAGGAGCAGGTAAAGGTCTGGAGAATGGCCCTTCCTGCCAGGAATCAAACCCTTGGTGGTTTCTGAGGGATGAGCTCACCCGGCTCTGCCATGGAAGAGCAGGAGGCCAGTGCAGCCTTCCAGCTCTCTGGGAACATGGATTGCACCCCTGGATGGGCAGAGGGGGTCAGTGGAACATGCAGGGGCTGGGCTTTCCCCAGCTCTGCAGTGGGAAGAGGGAAGGGCTGTAACAGGAAAGCAAGGCCTGGTGCCAAAACAGGCGGAGGCAAAACCTGGCCTTGACCTCCAGCAGACCCAGAAGAGCCAAAATCCCTGCCCTGAACCAGGGGAGGGAGGTGGATCTTCCTTTTTAACATAGACACGCACAGGACAAGCACACACACCGGCTCTGAGGATCCCAGCGGGATCCATGGCAGAGCTGCCCCATTCCCACAAGGTCTGAGGCTCCACAAACTCACATTTGATGACGGGTAAGACAAGTAGGGGGAAAAAAAAAGAGCCAAAACAAAAGAGCTTGCTTTGAGTTTTCTCATGCCCAGCCTGGATCTACACAGCTTGTTTTCCAGAGCCTTAGGGATGCAGCTCCAGCCTTGCTGTTCACCCTGCTCTAACACAGGGCTGTGACATCCCTAAGACACCTCACTTTGCAGCACACTCCACAAACTGCACTGAAAGCAATTCCTCCGTCCCTCCTCTCCCCACCTGGAAGGTCTAAGGAGTGGGTTAACACTTAAAACAGGGCACAGATCACAGCACGAGCAGCTGGACCTGCCGGCTCTAACAACCCTAAAATCCCAAACCATCTCAACGGGGAGGCAAATCCCCTCCAGAACTCAGCGGGGTGGGGGTGGGGGGTTTGTTTTTCTGTTCAAACCAAAAGCTCTTTTTATCCTACCTGGTCCCACAAGGCTGCGGCCACTTGGTCTATTACTGCTCCCAGTTCTCTGTACTCCCCAGAGTATCTGATATAAGCCCAGGTACAGAGTGTGATAAGTGTCAAGCCCATGATCATGTTGCACAGACTGGCAATGATGTCCAGGCCCACGAAGCCGGTGACGCCGGCGATGACGTAGGTGATGAAGATGACGACGAAGAGCGTGGCCGGGGTGCGGGCGGCGTGGAAGATGTTCTTGCTGTCGTTGTGCTTGATGTACTGGATGTAGAGCTCGTCGATCTCC